GACGGTTTTCAAATGGTGGTTCTCGCCTGAGCGTTGCGCACATTCGTTTTCAAAAAAAAGCGAGAGCTTCACGGATGGGTCGGCCGCACTGACACATTCAGCTCTCTCAGTTCTAAAGAAATGCTGCGCGGGTCGACGGGCGCGCAGAACGGCAACGCCACGGGGCGAAAAGAAACTGCTCCGCTCGACGCGTCACTCGGCAACGCGCGGGGGGCGAAGCAAAACGACTACTCTTCTCTACTCGTCACGCGGCAACGCCGAGGGGCGGTCACAAATGCGAATCCACCCCTACTCGCCACGTGGCAAGACGTTGGGGGGCGAAAACAGAGCACTCCACTCTACTCGCCACGTGGCAACGCCTTGGAGGCGAAAATAATGCCACTCGACGCCTAGCGCGGCAACGCCGCGGACAGAAACAGAAAGTAGTCCAATCGACTCGCCGCGTGGCAACACCTCGGGGGGGCGCAAAAATGGTCCACTCGATGCGCCTGCGCGGATCGGCCGCACTGACACATTCAGATTTCTCAACTCTAGGGCAAGCCTGCGCGGATCAAGGAAGGAACGAGGATGTGCATCCCCTCTGTCCTCCCTGCTCCTTCCTCTTTGATCGTCGTCCCTTTTCCACGCATTCCCCCTCCTGCACCTCTTTGTTGTCCTCCACCTTTTCCCTCCTTCTCCGTCCTCGTCCTCCGCATCTTGGAGGGGAATCCTCGCTTGTTTCTCTCTCTCTCTCTCTCTCTCTCAATCTTTCTCTCTCTTTCTCTCTCTCTCTCTCTCTCTCTCTCGGATTCCGGAATTCGGAGTGTTGAATTCTAGGGCTCGCAACCGCCAAGAATTCCGCGCTTCGCCTGCGAATTCCGGGTTTCGCGGATGCGCGCCGACCAGGCTTCGACCCAAACGATTCCGGGTTTGGGGGCGATTCCCCGCTTCGGCTCTGAACTGGGAAGGGGGGCGAAGCACACGTCCTTTCCCCCCTTCCCACGCCGGGATGACAGTAAAGGAGGGGGGGGCACCACCTGCTTCCGCTACCCTTTCGTGTGTGTGTGTGTGCGTGCCCCCCCCTTATCTCTATTCTCACCCTGGCACGGGAAAGTTTGTTGGGAGAGGGGGGGGCACCTACTTTCGCTACCCCTTTCGCCCCCCCCCCCCCCCCCCCAGCGTCGTTTTCGTTGGGCATCGCCTCAACACATATTTGATGTGACTATCGATTGCTGCTGCTGCTGCTGAGCAATGCGATGCGCACTGCTGCGTTATTCGACATTGGTCACATGCACCGCAGCGAGGTCCAATACAGCCAGCGCCCTCAGAAGCAGCACCATCACCATCAAAATGTTCGCCACCACCGTCACCATCACAATCACAATCATCATCATCATCATCATCATCATCATCATCATCATCATCATCATCATCATCATCATCATCATCATCAGCACCACGCCCCCTCCTGATCCTATTGCTCCCCTTTTTCCTGTGTTTTTTTTTTTCCTCCTGTTCCTCTTCCTCCTCCCTCCTCTTCCTCTTCCGACGCCACATTATCATCAGCGAATCATCCGCGAATCAGCATCACCACCATCGACATCGCCACCGATGTCAGCATCACCATCATCATCACCATCACCATCATCTTTACCATCATCATCACCACCAGCATCATCATCATAATAATCATCACCATCAGCATCCTCATCATCATCCTCATATTCATCCTCATCATCATCGTCATCATCATCATCATCATCATCATCAGTATCGTCATCATCACCATCCTCAGCATCATCATCGTCATCATCATCCTTATCGTCATCGTAGTCGAAATGCGCCTTACTCTTACCACATAGCAACAACCAAACTACACCCTTGCAGGCCAAGTCAGGCTAGGTCAAGCCGTAGGTTGCGGCAGCCCATGGGCGCGCGCACGGGGCATGGGCCAGGAACCCGTTTTTGACGGCATCCGCCCTGCAAGCTGCGCAACGCTGCGGTGGATGCGCATGCATACACCTGCGGAACATCAAAGGAGGGAGAGAAGACGCACGAGAGCGGGAGGGAGGGACGCACGACGAGCGGGGACGGGAGGCGAGGCCACGAGGGAGGGATGAGGAGGGACGAGCGACAGGGAGGCGACGGAGGAAAACGCGGGCGAGACTACAACCCACTGCGGACGGCAACAACCTGGGAGGAGAAGAAGGGAGGGGTGGCATCAAGACTCCTTGACGGCCTTTCGCCAATGCTGCTCGTCGACGGCGGCGTCCGTCATCTGCTGGAAACCGCCCGCGGCGCGCAGTCCGTTCGGCAAAACGGTCCGGATCCACTCTGTCCGCGGCCTCCCGCGCACACGGATGTAGCGATTCGCTGCTGGACGGAAAGATCTGGCCGGGCAGAACGACACGTCTCTCATAGCAGACCTTTCTGGTTGCCGGATGACCTTCCCGAGGAGGCACATTTGTCTTCGCCGCAGCTGCGCGGAGGCAGGTTCTGCCCCGGCCTTCTGAAGCACCCTGGCGTCGTGAAGCACCCTGCGGCCAGGCTGCATGGCACCTTTGATTCGATGAGCGATGGAAGACGCGCAACCACCACTGCAATGATAATGACAAATGTCTCCAGACTTGCCAGACTGCGCGAAAGGCCGCGTGCGCCAGCCCGATGAGCCTTGTGAGTTCCCCAGACATCCTGCCGTCTGGCGTCCAACTTGTGTCCAGGTACATGAGTGAATCCTCGGTATCCAGCGCGTGGCCAGATATGTGAAGAAGAAGATTTGCCCGGCACTGCAGCAGCTGCAGCCCGGGTGAAGCTCGAGGCCGTACGCCAGCACAGCCTGCCACACAGCCGATACGAATTTCTCCACGTGCGCCGCGCTGGAAACGACGAGCAACGCGTCGTCGGCAAAAGCGACGTCCGCGAGGTCTTGGCTGCGGTGCGCCTCGGCTGCAGAAGGTCCCAGGGGCGCCACTGCGCCGTCTATGAGCGCACTCATGACAACGATGAACAGGAGTGGGCTCAGGGTGCACCCCTGGGAGATTCCAGAACTCTAGCGGCGGGTGGCGGACTGGCGGCCCATGTCTCGACGGAGAAGTGCCGCCCGATCATGACGTTTCGTAATAGCTCGCGGTACATCCCAGGAATGCCGAAACGTTCCAGAACCGATATCATGCCGTGAAACGCCGACGCTGTCGAAGGCCTTCCTCCTGTCGAACGCAGGCAATGACATAGACCCGTGTTCCTGGGCGCCGGCGAGCTCAATGCGCCGCCGTGCTACGTAGATCGCGTCCTCTGTGCTCCTCTTGGCCCGAAAGCCGAACTGGGTCGGCCAGAAACGCTCGTCCAAGCCCGCGTCCAGGAAACGTTGTTTGATCATGCTCGCGAAAACACGATACGCCACAGAGGTGAGGCAAATGGGGCGGCAGTCGTCCATGCAACCAGGTATTTTTCTCATATATCATGGTTACTCGAGAGGTCATCCACGCCTCTGGCACTGCGCCATCGCGAAGACACTGGTCCATGATGTCTAGGAGGGCATCCAAGTCTGCGCTGGCTGATGTCGCCAGGACCCTGAAGGCCTCGATTGGCACGTTTCCGTCGACCACGCTTTTCCCGCTGGCCATCTTGCCGATACCCTTGCGGACCTCTGTGTTTGTGAACAGTGACTCGGCAACCGGCAACTGTTGAGGAACACGCTAGCTAATCGCTTGCTACAAATACTGCATATGGTATATCATCCTAGAAACAACAAAAGAACAACACAAACTAAACCCTTGAAAAACCAAGCAAACCGGAATATGTCTGTTAAAGTGTCGCAGGTGTTGTCTTTTCCTGGCAACACCATGACAAACAAATAGTTGAACAGCGCAAAAACAGCACACCGTGCGATTTATCATATATCGCACCCCTCACGCCATCACGAGCATCATCGCCATCAACCTTGTTATCACCATCGTCATCGTCATCGTTATCACCATCAGCATCACCACCACCAGCAACGTCGTCAACGAGAGCAGCAGCATCAGCACCAGCAGCAGCATCATCATCGTCAGCATGACGACCATCGTCCGCATCATCAGCATCAGGGCCAGCATCCGCAGCATAAGCCTCATCCCAATCACCATCGTCATACATCAGCAGCATCACCATCACAACCACCAGTATCAGCATGTGACTCAACACCAATATCATCAGCAGCAGCAGCAGCAGCATCCTCATCACCATCATCAGCAACATATTCATCGGCATCGTCTACGTGTTCGTTATCACCATCATCATCAGCATCATCATCACCACCATCACCATCATCATCACCATCATCATCACCATTATCATCACCAGCATCATGATCATCATCATCAGCAGCATCGCACTGATCCGCATCCTCCACATCATCACCATCATCATCAACAACAACAAACATCTTCATCGGCATCGCCTACGTGTTCGGTATCACAATCGTAGCCAGCATCATCACAACGACCTCAGCAGCAGCGTCAGCATTAGCATCGGCCTCTTCATTATCATCAGTTTCATCATCGTCGTCGTTATCACCATGCGCATCAGCATCATCAGCCGCATCCTCCCGATCAACAGCATCAGCACCATCATACGAATCAACATCACAAAATGTCATATCTTACCTCTCGAGTCCCGTCTTCTCATCATCTCTCATCTATCACGTCGAATATCCTATCTCTCAGCTCTCACCGCCTCTCTCCACCCCCTCTCCTCTCTCCCACTTCCTCCTTCTCCTCGCTCGCACGTCGTTGCGGCCACGCTCCATCCTCACCTCTGCTGCTGCTGCCAAAAAAACGGCGGGCCTGCGATCCTCCTCACATCTCCCCCCACTCCCTTTCCTCCTCCTCCTCCTCCTCCTCCTCCTCCTCCTCTTCCTCCTCCTCCTCCTCCTTCTCCTCCTCCTCCTTCTCCTCCTCCTCCTCCTCCTCCTCCTCCTCCTCCCCAATCCTGCCCCAGCTATCTAGCGGGGGCGAAACGGTGCTCCTCCGCGGGCGTGGTTGTCAGGGCGTGCGCCGCGGCCTCTCCGGCTCCGGGGGCGTGATGAAGGAGGCCTCGAGTCCGGTGGGCTGCCAGGCCCTCGGGGGCGGCGGCGAGGGGGGGGTCGTCGCCGTCGTCTGCCTCTTCCTCCTCCTCCCCCTCCACCTGCTCCTCATCATTTTCCCCCTCCTCCTCCTCCTCCTCCTCCTGCTCCTCCTCCTCCTCCTCCTCCGACTCCTCCGACTCCTCCACTCCTCCACCTCCTCCACCTCCCCTCCTCCTCCTCCTCTCATCCTCTCTTCCTCCTCCTCCTCCTCCTCCTCCACAACCTCCAACTCCTCCTCCACCCCCTCCTCCTCCCCCTCCTCCTCCTCCTCCACCCCCTCCTCCTCCTCCTCCTCCTCCTCCTCCTCCTCCTCCTCCTCCTCCTCCTCCTCTTCGGCACCTGTGCCACTGGGACCCCTTCCCAGGAAAACAGGCGGGTAACAGCCCGATCGTCACCCTTGTTTGCCCGTCGAGGGGCAAGGGGAGAGAAAATTGTTCCCGTCGCCAGCGGCCACCCATGGAGTGGGTGGTGGGTAGGTTGGAGGTCGGAACACGGCCTCCGGCGCCCCAACCCTGAACAGGGCGCGCGGAGCACGGTCTCCTTGCGTGCCCTGTTTCGCACAACTTGCGCGCCACGGGGGCATGGCCCTGGACCGTTGGCGTTGCTCTGTCTTCTGTGCGTTTTTTCTGCTGGCTCTGTTTAGCCGGAGCGTGCAGAGGCAGTGCTTGCCGTCTGGCTTGGCCACTCGGCGCAGCCTGCATCTCCCTCCGCTGCAGGAGGTCTGTCCTGCAATGTCAGGATCTGGAGGCGATGTCGCTAATGACAAACAAGACCTCCTCTTCACCCGCTGCTGGCACCACAGGGGCTGCTGGTACACCCTCTCCGGCCTGCAACGCACTATGTCGAACGTGCTGGACCATTTCCGCCGCCGTGGGCACCGCATGAAACCGGACATGATTTCCAGAGCGATGCCATCGGGCGCTGATCCCAGTCCTGCTGAACTCCTGAACTCCGCGATGCCATCGTTATCAGCACGAAAGTGTTCCACAAAGATATCTCCATCGGGCGTAAGAACCGCAAAAACAACCTGGGGGATGCAGCGACTATTAGGCGCTCGTGCCGGAGCGCAGGGCCAAGCAAGTCATACCTGACCAACACCACATCACCTGGAGCCGCCATGATGCTGGCGAATGATCGCCAGCTGCTTCATTCGCAGCACGACTCGGATGATCCCGTCGTCTGTAGACTCTGAGGTGCTACGAAACACACAAGAACTGCAACGACTGACCAGCCCAGCACACGTCAAGACTCCGAAGCCCGCAGCGAGGCCCACCACGAAGCCGAGCACTCCAGTCCAGCTCGAAGGGCCCCCGCCGTAGACGGAAGGGCACGCGAAAGTCGGGCAGGTAATGTTGATTGGGGTCGCACAGGTGACTGACAGGCACGTGACAGAACAGTTGGGGCACGGCGTGCACTGCTGGGAGCCAAGGGCCCACAAGATGCCGAGGTCAAAGGCCTTGGACGCGGCCAGCTGGTAGGCCCACGGGACCATGATAACAGACTTGAGCCGTAATGTTTTATCATAGCTCGCGACCTTCACAATCATCAGCATCGTCGACGTCGTCATCATCATCATCATCATCATCATCATCATCATCATCATCATCATCATCAGCAGCATCAGCATCAGCATCAGCATCATCATCAGCAGCATCATCATCACTATCAGCATCATCATCATCAGCAGCATCATCATCATCATCAGCAGCAGCACCATCATCAGCATCATCAGCATCAGCAGCATCATCTTCATCATCGTCGTCATCATCATCATCACCAGCACCACCATAATCATCATCAGCATCATCACCATGATCAGCATCAACATCATCAGCATCATCAACAGCATTTACAGCATTATCATCATCATGATCGTAATCTGGACCATCACCGTCATAATTATCACCATGATCAGCATCATCATCATCATCATAATCATCATCATCATCATCATCATCACCATCATCATCCTCAGCATCAGCAGTATCAGCGGCATCATCATCCTCAGCATCAGCATTATCAGCGGCATCATCATAACATCAGCAGCATCAGCGTCGAAAACATCATCATCATCATCATCATCATCATCATCATCATCATCATCATCGTCGTAATCCTCATCATCAGCAGCGTCGTCCACAACAGCAGTTCAGCATCATCAACATAATCATCAGCGGCGCCAGCATCATCATCAACATCTGCATCAGCATCATCCTCATCAGCATTATTAACAGAGTCATCAGCATCATCGTCATTAATATAGTCGTCGTAGTCGTGGTCGTCAACATCGTCAGCATCAGCAGCATTAGCATCGCCACAGCATCCAACAGCATCAACATCATCATAATTATCATCATCATCATCATCATCATCCTCATCATCATCCTCATCATCATCATGAGCATCAGCATCCTCATCATCATCCTCATCATTCTCATAATAGTAATCATCATCACCATCATCACCATCACCGTAGACGGCATCGTCATCATCACCACCATCATCATCAACTTCATCAGCATCATCAGCATCATAATCAACGTCATGGTCATCATCTTCA